TCCTAGTGAGTTTTGGATAGAAACATCTGAAAAGTTAAATTTCTTCCATCAATATCGTGTCTAATGAAGACTCACTAGTTTCATAAATACACAAAAAATAAGTAGCTTGTCTGCTTGTCACTTGCCATTGGGGGGAAAGCTAAAGACAGCAGACTTTTGTTTCCTCGCTGCTTTTAAAAAGTTAGATTATCCAGTATATCGATATCAGATTTTTTTACTTCCTAAAAACTGCCACTGTCATTTATCCTAAAAATCCAATAGTTATCAAGCGTCACATAATAATAATAATAATAATATTATAATAATAATAATAACAGCAATAGTGTAATATCATTAGTCCTTATATAACAACCTTCTGCCAACATCAATCTGGCCATTTTGTACTACACCTTGACTTAACAGCATTTCAGTTGCTATGGCAAAGCCAGAGATCACAGTGTAGCATAATCTCAAGGTAAAAAACCCGCACCCTGATAATTATTCTGCACTCTGTATTAATCATCGGGGTGGCAGAGATGGTGACGTTTAATGTGCCAGGAAACACAGATATTGAGTGTAATTATGACCAAAGGGTTGCTTGAGAATGTCTTAGCTTAGATGCCTGTTTGCGTGCCAGTCACATTCTAATCTGGAAGCACCAAAACCATACACTGTGCCTTTCATGCTAAAAGCTTTCGCTATATTTCACACTGACAAATGACAATCACTGACAAAAATAAACACAGACCCCCCAAAAATGGGTGAAAAGAGAGAGAGATGCAGCACACTGTTAAAAGAATACTGTTCAATAAAAACTGTACTCTGAACTTTGCGATGAACTGAGGGCTTTGGCAGATTTGTAGATAACAGAGGATTCTTCATTTTGTGCTGAGCCCCAGTTATGTGTAACCAACACCCAACAGACCATGATCACAATCAGCAATAGTTTGAGGTATAAAATGTAAAACTCTTCTCTTAATTCCTTGTTACAGGCTCATCCATTGACTATGCACCCATGGTTTATCACATATTCATTTAAAAACGGAAGATAATTAAATACAATACAATACAACTTTATTTGTATAGCACGTTTAAAAGACCAGTGGTACACCAAAGTGCTTTACAATTAAAAACAGGAAAATTAAGACATTAAATAAAAGACTATTAACAAAGTACCACATATGTCATCAGGTTAAGGGCACTAATTATACGGCAATAGAAGGGAATATAAGAACAAAGTTGCTAAGAACAGATATAGCGTTACAGATAAAGTACATAAATAAGAAATTGAACCAAATATAAAATAGGGACACTAACTAGATGGAAAAGCTATGTTGAATAAATGAGTTTTTAAATGGGATTTAAAAGATAAAACTGAGTCTGACGCACGGAAAGCGATAGGAAGGTTGTTCCACAGATTCGGTGCAACCAGGGCAAAAGCACGGTCACCCCTAGATTTAAGCCTAGATCTAGGCTGAGCCTGGAGTAATTGGGCTGAAGACCTGAGGGCTCGCCCAGGGACATATAGACTAAGAAGATCGACTAGATAACGAGGGGCTAAATTAATTTTAAAGGTGAGCAACAATATTAGTTAAAGTAATTAACTGTGATTAACCACATTTTTGGGAAACCTGAGTTCAGTTTCATTAGCCCTGCCAGGCAGCCTTGATTACTGACAGACCTGTGGAATCAAGAAGTCACATAAACAGAACCTGTGTGACAAAGTCTCTGACATCTATCGGTCTGGAAAGGGTTACAAAGCCATGGATTCCCATGAACCACAATAACAGTTATTATTCACAAAAGGAGAACATTTGGAACAAGAGTGGCAGGCCCACCAAAATTACTTCAAGAGCACATGGACGACAAATGAATCCAGTACAACATTTAAATCAACTGCAGGCTTCATTTGCCTCAGTTCAGGTCAAAGGTCGTGATTCAATAATAACAAAGAGACCTGGCAAAAATGGCGTACTTGGGAGAGTTACAAGGTAAAACAACTGTCGTCCAAAAAAAACACAAATTCTGATTTCACATTTGCTAAAAGAAAACATCCTGATGATCCCCAAGACTTTGGGGGAAATATTCTGAATTCAATTCAATTTTATTTATACAGCGCCAAATCACAACAACAGTCACCTCAAGGCACTTTATATTGTAAGATAGTCCCTACAGTAATACATACAGAGAAAAAAACCCAACAATCATATGACCCCCTATGAGCAAGTACTTTGACGACAGTGGGAAGGAAAAACTCCCTTTTAACAGGAAGAAACCTCCGGCAGAACCAGGCTCAGGGAGGGGCAGCCATCTGCTGCGACCGGATAGGGTGAGAGAAGGAAGACAGGATAAAAGACATGCTGTGGATGAGAGACAGAGATTAATAACAAGTATGATTCAATGCAGAGAGGTCTATTAACACATGTTGAGTGAGAAAGGTGACTGAAAAGGAAAAACTTATCATGGGAATCCCCCAGCAGCCTACACTTATTGCAGCAAAACTAAGGGAGGATTCAGGGTCACCTGATCCAGCCCTAATGGGTGAATCCTGCTCTCTACCAGAACTTTCTGACGTAGAGTGTCTGGCCCTGAGTTTATGCCATGAAGCTCAAGTTCACTTGGGTTATGCAATAGGGCAAAGATCAGAAACCACACCACCAAGTCCATCACTGAGTAGCCCAAAGAAGGTTTTGGTGTGCCCTAGTCAAAGTATGAACCTAAATTCTACTTAATTTTTTGGCATGAATTTAAATAGGCCATTAATGTTTTAAAAATGTAGGCTTAATACAATTTGGCAAAGACAAATAGGACAAAATACCTCCATAGCAACGAGAAAGACTCAGTGCCAGTTGTTGCAAATGCTTGATTGCAGCACTTGTTGCCAACTGTGGCGTAACCAGTTGTTAGGTTTAGTGGACAATTACTTTTCTCAGATAGGGCTAAGTTGGTTTGGGGAACTTTTTCCCTTAATAAATGAAATTATAACTAGGGCTGTTCGATATAACGATATATATCGGATGACGATATAAAAACATCTATCGTTTCATTTTAGCTATCGTTTGTTTCGTGGTGTCATAAAATAAACTGTTTACAGCAATATTTTTTCATCGTTTTGATGGTCACTGCTATATTAATTTCTATAAGTTCTCTCTTTCTCTTATATTTAATATAACCAAACTACTGACGGTCAAGCGCCTGTTTTTACGTGTTGTCGATAGCAACAACAACAGTAAAACCATCGCGTGGCTCCGCTGTCCGCTTATTTGTTTTCTACATAAACCTTT